TTATTTATTTTGATTTGTAAGCTTATTTATTATATCATAATAATAATAATAATAATAATAATACACTCTACCCTCGTTATAACGGACCCCAATATAGCGAATACCTTATTATAACGGAGTAATTTTCTAAAACAATTTAAAATTATTATATAACATTATAACGGATATTCATTTATTATAGATATGATAGACAAAATCTTTCAGCCCGAAGGGCCCCTTATAACGAGAGTAAAGTGTAATAATAATAATAATAATAATTAATAACTAATAATAATAAAAAAAACTAATGACTAGTCAACTAGTCATAAAATTAGTCGACTGGCTAGTCAACTAAAAAATTTAAGTCAGATCACTATTCGAGACATCTCGTTATCCACCCTCTTTATTAAGGTCTAAAGGGCATCCTTAAATACATGGTTTATGCATTTATATTCATATTAATAGATTTTGAATAAATTCGTTTAACTAAATTATAACTATAATCACCTACTAATCTACATCGTAACACCGATACTAATATAATAGGTTAATTTATTATAATATCTGATCTGTATGGTATGGTTTTTTAAACTATAAACTATATCATATTGACTAGCTAATATATATAATAGCTGATAAGTATGGGATAGTTTATTTTACTTCCCCATAACCATACTGATATTCTGTAATTCTGTAATCCCAATTGATCCAATATTGGGAAATAAAAAGGAGGAAATTACATATCAGGCCAAATTTAAAAATAATTATGAATAAGGGCCCAAATTAAAAATTATTATGTATAGGGGCCCAGAAAACAAAAATTATTGCCTATACAGTCTCCAAGCTTTGAAAGAGACCAAGCTACAAGTGCAAGTCATGTCACTTGTGGTTTTTCGATTTGTCTCACGCTTTATTGGTCGCAAAAATTCAGATTACATGACTTGTTCAACGATTTGACCAATCAAGTCACAGCACTTAAAGGAAACCCAAATCGAATTAATTCTGGTTCATGAGAACCCAAAATAAGTTAACTTGAACTAACTTCTAGTTCAAGTGAGCCCGAATTTGGGCTTCTTAAACTAAATTCTGGTTCAAAGTTAGATACTTGATGTTTAGTTAATCCAATTCTGGTTTACTTGACCCAGAATTTTGATACTTAAATGTTGTGACTTGATTGGTCAAAATCGTTGCATGAGTCACGTGATCTATTTTTTTGCGACTAATAAATTTTGAAATAAATTAAAAATCGCAAGTCACACGACTTGCACTTGTGACTTTGTCTCGTTTTATAGTTCAGAGACTGGATGGGCCCTTATTTGTAATAATTTTTGTTTTTTTGAGCCACTATACATAATAATTTTTAATTTGGGTCCTTATTCATAATTATTATCAAATTTTGGACCCTGATATATAATTTCCCCAATAAAAAGCCCTATCGCACATACTAGATACTATCGCAATTTGATTTTATCAATATATCTATTTAAATTGAAATGGGTTCGAGTCAGTCAATTATTCATTCCTTTGACTTATCAAACAAAGTCATTATAATTACCAGTTCTACTGATGGGTTGTATTTTTTATCAAAACAAAAGTTTCTTATAATTACTGTAATAACCATTCTTTTTATCAAACAAAAATCTCTTATAATGACTGTAATAACCATTCTTTGTTTTGTTGTTGTTTTTTTTTAGGAATTGGTAAAAGTTTAGCCCGAATAATCTCATCATACAATCCAAAGCGCTTAATACTTCCAATTTGTAATAGGAAAAAAGGTGAACTTCTTCTTGAGTATATTAAAGAATCTAAAGATGGAAATATTGAATGTATTGAATTATGGGATATAGATTTGGCAGATTTACATAGTGTAAAAAATTTTGCTGATAAGTTTATTAAAGAGGTTTGTGAATTACACTACTTGTGGAATAATGCTGGTGCGTATAATCGAATATTAGCAGCACTTTATTGTCTTTTTTAGTATTTAATTGTAAATGAAAAATAGGTACCTTTTGTACTGGATTGGTGAGAACAAAAGACAATTTTGAACAACAATTCCATGTAAAATTTATTTTAAGAACTATTCGTTTTTTACTTGCTTAACAAGTTCTTAAGATTTTTAATAATGTTTTTAAACAAGGTTAATCATCTTTCTTACTTTCTCCTGACTTTCCTTCTACTTCTGACTATAAAAAACTCGGCAATATTGAAATCTCCGTGCAAAATAATTCACAAGAGTTCAATAACACAAAGACACGGTAAAATTGATTTTGACAATCTTAATAGTGAAAAATCTTGTAGCTTCTTTGTATTATATTCAAATGCAAAGTTAATGGTTAGTGAATAATTAGTACATTTAAGATCTTGCATATTATACTCTTTTTATGATTTAATTTATATATGAAAATTTTTTAGAATATTATATATAGTAATGAACTTAATCGTCACCTTAAAGGTTCAAGTAAGTAATTCCATCAACTTTGCCGTATGATAAATGTTAATTTCTTTTCATTGTTATTTTAAAAACTTGTTCTTTATAGTGACTTAAATTTATTATTGATTTTACAAAAAAAAATAAAAAATTAGACATTACGTTCACAGCTTGCCATCCAGGATTGATATCAACAAACTTGGGTCCAAAAAATTTGAATCTTAGAAATTTTCTTATGTTGTTCGCTAAATCACCTGAAATTGGTGCAATAAATGTAATGTATTTTGATTAGACCCGAACATCGATGGAGGTGGAAAATATTTTGAGAATTGTAAAGAAGTAAAACCAAATGATCAGGCATTAGACAAAGATTTGGCTAAAAAGTTTTGAAAAAAGAGTGAAGAATTATTAAATAATTATAATACCAGTTTTTTAAAATGAATTTTTATAGTTACCGTATAACCGTGAAATAACGCACAGGGGCGTTATTTTGAATTTTGGCCCGAATTAAGCTTAATTTAAGCCAAAAATTGAAATTACACCCCTGCGCATTATTTCGCGGTTATACAGTAAAAGTTTAAAAATGATTCTGATACTATATTCTTATACTGATTGAAATATGATATATTTTTAGAATATTTCGCATGTAGAATTCTCAGTGAATAATATACTTATTATTTTGACAAACTTCTACAGTAAAATACCGTAATGTAGATATTCTCAATTCAAGATAATATCATATTTACTTTGCATAAATTTTATAAATATATTCTTATATCAAATTATATATATACTAGTGATTGGCTCGTCATCATAAAAATTCAAATAACTTGAATTCATCATAATTTAAACTACGCAATTGTGTCAAAATATATTGTACTGTACAATTGTTATATAAAAATTTCAAAATTAGTTTCTTTGTTGAACAGAATACAAAATTTATATCTTTACAAATAGTAATTTAAAACTCAAAATATATGAGCTTAAATCAATCCATATATAATCAGTGTTATATATAAACATATGTTTAGAGAAAATTATTTGACATGGACAGTCCATAGACAGTCCAAAAACAATGTCCAATGTCCTGTCCAAAATTTGGATAGAGACATGACCATATTTTCTATATGTCTATGGACATCCCAGGTCCATGTCCATGTCAATTGATAACACTGTATATAATCACTCCTTTTACAAATGTTTCCTTTTAAATAACATTTTATTGCTCTTTCATGTTTAAGATTAGATCTAATTTATCTGTATCTGCTGTAGGTAATGTTATGGGAGAAATTGGTTTTTCATTTCTGAAAATATTTTATATTTTTGATAAGTAATCCGAAATATAAAAATCCTAAATTTCGAAACTTCTATTTATCTGATTGACTAGTTTCTGAGGTCATTTATATCTACATGTGATTAGCATTTATGCCTAGCAATTTATGCCATGCCTTAGCTAATTATATATAGCAACTACAAAAAAATTCACGAAATTTCATTGGCTGCAGATCGTCAACATTTTTTTCGATTAAAAAAATTAACTTTCAATATTAAAGTAAAAGTGAGAATTAGAAAATAGCAGAAAGGACACTACATATAGAAAAATTTTGCAAGTGATTTTTTTTGTTTAATCTAAGGTGGTTCTATAATCAAAATTTTGAGTTATAGCTGATTTTTTGAAAAAGCCAACAGTTTGTTTTGTTTGCAAGTTACATATAATTGGATGCCTGTAGATCTCCCACAAAAACATTAATATTAATCAATGAATCTACTCTATAACGTGACTTAACCTTAATCTAACATAACCCTAACCCCTAACTTTAACATTCCAATTGGGAAAAATCACGAGGAAAAATTTTTGTGGGTAAGCTACGACACTTATATAATGGATTTAAATCATGTATCCGCAGACTTTTTTTGTGGTTATTTTGTATAATGTCTTATCTAGGCACTCGGATAATGTGTACCAGGTTGTGGCACAGACAAAATTTTTAAAATTTGTTAAGTTTAGGTTTAGGGTTAAGAGTTAGGGTGTGTGTTTTATGTCATTTTGTTAGAATACTGAAGGTATTTATTATATTGATTTTTGAGTTATGAGCAATTTTTGGCAGAACGAACGATTGTTTTAAATCTTCCTGATCATGTTACGGTACACCTAATCTTGAAATATGATTCATAGTTCAGGATATCTGCGCCACAAACCTGGTACACATTATCTGAGTGTTTGTGCCAAGACCTTTAATAGCACCTGGTATTTATGCTTTTTGTGCCTATAGGCATAGTATAGGCATAAGGTGTTATTGCCCGGCCTGGTACCAATATGCTTGGCATAGGCATTTGCAGAACCTACTTTCATTGAGAAAAGAGCTAATCATTTAATATAGTTTCAGACAATTTTGAATATTTCGGAATGAGTTCAATTTTGGGCAATTAAGGATTTTTGAAAATTTTGGAAAATTTAAATGTTAGACAAGCCTAATTCGCCCATATTTCGGACTTGGATTGGGTGAAATACTTAGGTTTCACCTGCAACGTTAGCTATAGCATCCAAATTCCATGTTTGTTATTTATAACAGAAACATAGTGGAACGTAGATATAGTTTAGTTCAAGTTTGGTGTTTATACACAAAATCTTGATATAGTTTAGAGTGATTTTTATGACATATTTTGTATAGAAAACCGAAGGTAGCACGAACTTTTAATCTAAATTAAAATTTTATCTAGTAATTTTAACCTCCAAAACACTCATTATTTTTTTTGGTCAAATCGCAAAGTTATTTACTATTCTATTATTTATTTATAATTTATTATAGCTAATCTCTGATCCCCATTTATTATTAGACTAAGACTTTATATTTATTTTCTGAATATACATTTAGTATTTTTGCTTTTTGTTAATTGTTGATCGACAAAAATTATGAATACTAAAATAAGAGAGTTTCTTATTTTTAAGCCTTTATTAGATTATTGGGTATTATTGGGATAACATCGATTAATATTTTTATGTTTTTATCGTAATTTTGGATAAAATACACACTTATATTTGACATTTGTAATTCCAAATCGATGTTTTTTATCCCCTAAATATGTTAATTTTGAGATACTCTAATGAAGATTTGCGAAATTAAATACCACTAGCATAGCAGGTGGCGCTATGTGCCATCCTATCTTAGTGATATATGAGTGCCACCTAGGGAAACCCATCAGGCTTTCAATTATATTTTGTACTAAAATATTCTCTAAGAAATTAAATAGATTTTGTCCAGTATAAAATATAATTAAAAGCCCGATGCAGGTTTTCCTTTGGCGGCAATCATATAATTAAATTACCAAAATTTCACATAAACATTGTGTTTTTATCATGTGTCAATTGTTATAGAACTTATACTATAACATGATTTCTATTGTAAGTTATTGTGAAAAAATTCTGTTATATAGCTTACACGCTATTCAATGACACAGTAGCTAAATTAGTTAGTATTAGGATTATCATGTTTTTATTGTAAGTTAACTATAAAATAATGTTACAGTACTTAATCGCTATTCTGATAATATACGGCATATAGTTAAAATTAAGTTAGTTTGCATCAGAATTATTGTAATTTCTATTGAGAGTTACTATAAAAACTCCATTAATATTCTGGTAATACACAACATTTAGATAATTTGTATTAAAATTATTGCATTTTTTTGTGTGAGTTATTGTAAAAAAATTGATATAAAACTTACTCTTTATTATGATGATGCACAGTAACTGTCTAAGGATAAGTTGGATTGTATTAGAATTAACTTAAATTTTCAACATGAATTACTTTAAAAAATTCTTTTATGGAACTTGCACTTCGTAATACACAGTATGTGGTTAACTTAGTTTGCATTAGAATTATTATGATTTCTATCTGATTTACTATAAAAAATTATATTTGCTAACTCTAGTGACGCATACTGTAGTATATGGTTAAGGATGAGTTAGTTTGTATTAAAATTATCATGATTTCTATTTTAAGTTACTATCAAAAAAAATTCAGTTATAGAACTTATAATTTGCTGAATTCAAAA